TGGAAATTGTCACTCAAGATGATAAGTACTTCAAATACTTTAAAAGACATATCATCTTGAGTGGCAATTGAAATAGATCTCAGATGAGATCTATTGATAGATACTTTCGATTCAATTTAATACTTCAAATTTACTTCCTCATTTGATTAGTGATTTATGAGTGATTATCGATCAAAATATTCACACAATTAGAGAGCAATCAAAAAAGAAACTATTTGTCATCGAGTTGATGAGATGACATTGATCATCGAGTAAAGTTCACGATTTATACTTCAGAACACAACATAGCGCAAGCATAAGATGAGGAAATTGAATCGAGATCAGGATCGCATCAAAACAACGACATAAATTAAACAGCTGCCTGCTTTGACGTACCACATTTCCATCTAAACGACAAATCAAGTGATCATAAAAGTGTGAAGAGATCATGAATGCGTAGGTAAAACACAATTAAACTGTTTAAAAAGCTCATCAGAAAATCAATCAGAAGGCGATAAACTCAACTGATCACGCGGATGAAGAAAACAGTTGTTCTGAAAACAACACTAAGCTGCTCTTGTTAAATATCTGACTACTGATGTTTTCAAGTTACCGACCAAAAAACGTAAAGAATCTAAATGACAACATTCGCTTACTTCACTATGAAACAAAACATCCCATCAAGACTTAATAGATTTCGTAGCTGTGTGGTAGATCTATTGTTAACTTCTTTTTCTGTGTATATCGCAGTTGCTGAGCAATATCTAGCGATCAGATTAGTTTCCCGTGTGAGACAAAACATAACTATTTATGAGAGTTCTACTGAGCAGTCGGCTAACTTAGCTTACATCGACAGAGTGATAAGAAATGGGATGAACTGGAGCGCAAACAATAAACCCGTCTACGGGTTTACACAGTTGAAAAATGAAATCAAAAACCAGTTAATTTTGAGAAAATAAATGAATTTCATCAGAATTATGAGTTGCTCATTGCAATAATATTGCCAACGGCCAACGGTTGCCTGCGTCAATTAATTAATTGGATTGCGAAGCATATGCATATCAAAAATGCCAGCTCATTCTAGCCTTTAATATTCCAGATGGATTTCAAATAGACACAAAAACAGACTGAAATTTGAAGAGGAAACCAAAAAAAANAAAAAAAATCATTTCACAAAATCTCAAAATCTATGAATGAAGATTGTCAATGTGAAGTAATTTCGTAATACTTGCCTGCGTAATAGAACTTGCCTAGAACCAATCCGTTAAGCAAACATTACGTCAGCTCTAACATTTTCAAAGTACACGGTTTAAGAAATGAGATTTCCAACTGATGGGATCAGCCCTAGCGGACGAAACTGCACGAAACCTCGAATGAATATCAGAAATCAAGTGTTTGATGCAATACGACGGACAATGAACATTATTCAAACACTCAATTTGTGACTGAAACTGTCCATCAAGAATAATTTGAAAGCCAGCAAAACAATTTTTGTGACGTGCTCATCAAAACTTGAAATTCCATGGATAACCAAATAGTTGTCGCAGAGTGAAAAAAGCAACAACCATACGATTCTTAGGAAAAACTTCGTAAGACTCAAGATCTACGAGTGAATGACGGTCGTAAATGCGAAGTAATTGTGCATTATCTGCCTGAGAGCATTTGGTGAACTCGAACACTGTCAAAGATAGATGATAGTAAGGCTATTATTATTTAAGAATACTCTCAACGAATTTCTAAACACAAACGTTTCACGATTGTTCCGATAAACATTCTCTCGGCAACGTCACGCAATAAACTGCAATCTGCCATTTATATAGCATCACTGATAGGATCGCATAGGACTCAGATGATGTAAATTTCCTCGAACACAAATTTATATTCTGTCAAAATTCTGTCAAAAAACTTTCCCCTTCGTCATCAAGTCTATCACGGCTGATTCAAATTCACACTTGAACAGAAATGTCTGCTCGAATTAGGTGTTTAATCTCTTCTGAAACATCTTCAAAAATATCGAATTCAACGAAACTACTTCTGTGGAGTATTTTTTGATAAAGTTCACGTCATATGTGACAAGAACAGAGTTTTTGCGCACTTGACGTGGCTTGATTGACCTTTTCAAATGCATCACTAAATTCAAGCAAGTAGAAACAAAAAGTTATGCGAAATGCCACCGATGAACTTATGAAGCATTCAGCTGTAAACAATTTGAATCAATTTGCTGTCCGAATGATACTTTTGAGCTCTTTTTGGCTCAAAAAAAACGGCATTTATAAGACACTCAAGAGCACATCCAACCATGAAAATGTCACAAAATGCGGCAATTCGAAGCGAAACTCCACGAGAAACATTGAATTTTCTCGAAGACATTCAGTTAGGTTTTCTCAGAATTGTAATCTTATGATCAGTCACTCTAAGTTAAAACCTGCAGAGTCACGAGATTTTTCCGAATTAATTCATCACATTGATTTGAGGTTACCCATGCAAATGAAATGTATTCTCGTGATGCACCTGAATGACGCGCTGAAATGCGATTGGAATATGGCAAAGCATTTTTTTTGTTGAATTTGAAATGAGATTAAAATGAATGCTGGATGAACTGAATACTTAAGTATAAGGAAAATTATAATTTTGAAATGCAGACGCTCAATGAATAATACATATTCTTGGCTGACACAGGGGATCAGTGCTTCTTGCTGGATAATTTAGCGAATACGAGCCAATAAATGACAGCAGATAAGAGCGCTGGATGTGTGTGAGCCATTCACACCGTTAAACACTTGTCTTTGGTGAATTTACGAGCGTAACAGTTGGATTACCGTGAGAATACGACTTCTTTCGAGCGATCTATTTGGAAACTGCATCTCAGATTAGTGAAAAGAATGAGCGTTAACGTGAGCTTAAAGCAAATCTTCCACTCAGTCACCTAACATTCGCCTATATTGCCGTTGTTGGGGTCGATTGTAGTGAAAGAACAGCATTCAGCATTTCCAAATCGCTGGTTCTTTGCGAATAACATAAGTGATCGAACTGCCGGAATCTGACAAAGAATTTATTCGTTATGCATCAAAGTATCAGCAAGCCTTGATACGGACCATAAGACTTGATAATATCCACCGCAGTTTCAACAACGACAATAACAGTGAAAAGTGCATTTGTACCTATCATGCGTGAATGAATAAATGAATAATTCATGATATGGATCATA